AAGTGGGCTGTAGTCCACGAAAGCTTATGCTCTAATAAATTTGTTAGTCTCTAAGGTGCCACAAGTACTCCTGTTCTTTTTACGGATACCAAGGTGCATAAAAGAAGTTATATACATATATTAGGAGCAAGAGAAAGACAAAGAAAAGCAGAGGACCACTACTTATTAGGGAATGGAGAACTAATAGTAGACAATACCAAGCTCTCTTTTTCTCACACATGGGCACATCAATACATGAAACATTATCGAGGAAAATGAAGTGATCAAGTAACATGCAAAAAAATAAAAATGAACCAAAATAAATTTGCATATGATTAAAACATAAATTTTAGCAAGTTAAAAATAACTTAAATCTTAATATCTAAGGACACTTTTAGAACTAGAAATTGTGGTTTATTTAAGCTGACCAACTGGTTTACGGTTAAAGTATTTGGATAAATGGGGGTGAATTTATGTGAGATTTGCCTTGCCATCAGAGTTACTCTCGAAGGCTAAAGTTTAAAATTGTATTGTTAATTCACTTTTTTTTTTTACTCTGTGTTTGAAAAAAAATGATGAAACTGTGGGTGAAAAAAAATCCTTAATTATAGTTACCTGCATTGTTTCTATTACAGTTAGACACCCCAATCTGATCCCATCAGGCATCTCAGGTTGGACACTCCAAATGAATAAATGTAAGCATGTTGCATTCAGCTATAACTTGAATGGATGTTTATAAGGGTTATTTACTTTCATTCTGTTTTATGTATTTGCATTTCTTGGTGTACTGTGACTTTGTAAAAGTTTTGTTATTCATTTTCTACCCATCTCCTGTGTCTGGCCTGCATACCAAGCTCATAATTATACTATCTGGGAGTTGAAAGCAGATGTCACGTTAACAACTTCTACAAAGGAATATAACAACTGCCACAGTGGATGCGACCAGAGGACCACTGTGTCTGAAAGTGGCCAGCAACAGATGTTTCAGAGGAAGGTGTGTAAGAATCCCACAGAAGGTATATGTGGTATAATCTGTCTCCACAAAAATAAATCTAACCTCCAATAATTAGTTGTTAGGTTAAGCCAAAACTCTGTATTTGTATTAATTATAATTCTGGATATTCTTGTTGTCTATATATGTTCCCATTTCCTCTTTGACTCTTATTAGGTGTCACGGTTACAAGGAGAACTGCACCTTAACTCCTTTTAGTCCCTCCAGAGAGTATCCCCTCAGCTGACAGACATGGTTTCCTGCACCTCTCAGTGGATAGAACCCTGTGGTCAAACCCCTCCTAGTTTGGATCTCCGGGATGCAACCTCCTGGTTCCCAACCATGTTAATGCGACAGGCCCAGCCACGTTTAGCACCTCAGACTCCAGGATCCAATGACGACTGAGGTGGTTAAAGTGACTCAAAAACATTTTCTTCCAAACTAATTATTTATTCACTCACCCAAAAATACAAAGCGCACAGAGTTACAGATTAAAAAAAGTTCTACAGGCATATTTCCCTTTAACTAATGTTTAATCTTTCCTTGCAGGCTTTCATACATTTCAGTGTGTGCTCCCAACAATTTATTATCAAATATACAATGCCTAAGAGGTCTATATTGCATGTATGTATCCTTACCCTATAGGAAAATCAACATCAACACCATGAGCTGTCATGTGGTATAGTCCAAACTTAGCCAATTTAATATGTCCCTGTAAAAGAAAAAATATATCAGCAATGAAACTCTACATATTACATAGGCCACAGAAAGAATTAAAAATATATAAATTCTTTTAAATTGTGCTAGCAATCTGAGAAGTGTCAGAAAGAGCTGGAGACTGAAATTTTCTGTTTGTCCCAAGTGTATTTTAAAAATATGAAACCCAGCTTCTCAGGTCCTGATTTCTATATGCAGACAAAACTTTACTGGAAATTAATGAGAGTGTTTACTCGTGTGGGCAGCATACTGGAAAATAAAACGAACACCACATAAGAGAATATTAAGCCAAGTTTCCTTACTTTCTGTGCAGTCATAAGCAATGTTCCTTCATTTTTTTCTTCTTGCATCCAAAACATATTCCCCCCCCCCCACCTACTTCCACTCAGGTTTAAAAATTGGAATGCATTCTTTCTTCTCTTCTCCCTCATTCCATTTATCACTTCATTTACTCAGTCCTCTCCTTCCTCCCTTCCCATCAATTCCATACCTAACTTTCATTACCAACCTTCTCTCCAGCACTAACTCATTCCTTTTCATTCATCTCCTATCCATAATGATGTTAAAAGAACATTTGCTGCATATTACCCCTATACATTACCACAGTTGTTTCCTCTCTGAAGTCAGAGCAGTGACATCTGTGCTGCTTTAGAGAAGGTTACGTTAACACTCCCAATATAAAAAGCCAAGTTTTCCCGGGTTATTTCATTATAAAGAAATAACTGCAGGCCCAAGCCTGACATACAAACTCTCATTTTACCATGGTCACATGTCAGGCTGCACCAAAATGGGTTTGATGTCTGAGTGAAGACTACAACCCATCAGGTTTTTAAGCAATTTAAGGGGGGAGGGAGAGAGAATCAACCCTTTAAAAGTCCATGTAACTGCTCTCTCCAGCTTCCTGTCATCTATTTTAAGTCTTTAATACCATCTTAAAATCCTGAATACTTTTGTTCCTCAGGATTTCATTTTCTATGAACTCAGTTTTCATCAAATTGAAATACATGTCATTTACCCAAAGCAAGGAAACAGAACAACAGTGTTTCTGCCTGTTCCCTTTCCCACTTCATTGCAAAGGTAGGATTTGAGATGAGAGATATTGGTAGTACTATTTGGCTCCTTTAAAGAGGAGTTTAAAAAAAGTAAAGCACAATTAGGCTCCTTAGTTTCAATGCACTGATGTGACTGCTCTGACTACATCCATTATGTTTTTCTTGCTTTTTGTACATGGCATCTATATTCCTTTCTGCAAACTAGAAAATCTGTGACAGATGGGAGAGAACGATCAGAATTTGGGACTGCATTGATCCACTCAGATTATGAAACAAAAATACACCACCATTTAAAAAGCAAATACTAAACTCTTTTCCACCGTGCGTGTGTGAGAGAGAGAGATGAGATATACGCAGCATTATCCACAACTATGCTTAAGGGTTAAATTATCCTACAGCAGTAGTCAAGGTGGTCTATGAATGCCAATACAAAAAAAAGTCATAATAGTACAACTTCCTTAAAAAAAGAGACAAAGGGTAAAAAACCTGGTCTGGGAGCCATGGAAAAGGGACTAAACTGTAAACACATCTGAAATTCTACACATTTTGAGAACACTTCTTGTTTTGACTGTAAAAATGTCCCTATTATAAAAAAATATTTCATCCAGAAGGATCCCAAAGCCATTTCTCACTGGCCAGGCCCCAAAATGTACAATGTGTCACTCACTTTGATTGCTTAAGAGAATATTCCAATAGCCTTACCTCTCGATCCAGGAGGATATTGTGAGGGGAGAGTGCTCGGTGGACCATTCCATGTTTGTTCATATATTGCAAACCCTGCAATACCTCAAATGCTATGCGTAAAATCCTTGAAAAGCTGAAAAGTAGAACAACATACTGTACCCATTTCCTTTTTTAAAAATTTGCAAACAAGTATGTAAGTTATGGATACTGATGATTTGATTTCCTTTTGTTACACTGGTACTCTAATTGAGCTATTCCTTCTCATCTACTGATGAAGTTTTTGTGAAATTTTTGTGCATCAGGTTGAGGGGGGCAATTTTTTCTCCACCCTCCTCCAGACTTGCAAAGTTTAGGCTTCATAAAGAGCTTGCAAAGCTCTTTCCCAACCTTAGGCAAAGTTTAAATAAGCAAAACCAAAATATATTTTTTCATATTGTTCAGCTATGTTTGTTTGCTGCTTCCCAGTTGTAGTTTAGTTGATGTCACCTGATTTCCTCAGACAGTTTATTTTTCCCATCTAGCAACAGCATTAATGCTTCACCAGAGGTTGTCCAGTCACTATAAAACTAGTACTCGGAACTTTCTAGAGTATATCACAAGCATTAGTGAGGGTAGAGGTAGGAGGGGAAGGTAATCAGCTGATCAGCTAGGGTGAGGAACACAAGCAAGAGATGCAAAGCAAGCTTACTGGGATAAAGTAGGTGTAGAACAGTGGGATCGTGTCTGAGCTAGGGCAATTATATTGGGGGGAGGGAGAGGAGAAACAAAGAGATAATGCCAGGAGAAGACAGGTATGTAGCAGCATCCAGAAGGTCAGCTAATTACTCCATCTTGCAGCTCATTCCCATATTCTATTTGCAGCTAGATTATTTCCTTAATCTTTTGAGTCTCATATACTTAATGCTCAGACTGAAGGATTTGTTCTGAATGCTGTGCACTCTGCACCCCCACTCCCGTGAACTGCTAATCACCCCTTCATATAATTGCCCTTGGCCAGAGACAGTTCCTCCTACATGGTATTACTAGCTCTACTTCAGAATTTACCTCCAAAATGCACCAATGAAATAAATTCAGGTGGCTGGGAGAGGGAATTACCCCAGGTTCAGTGGAGGCGGTACACTAGGTGTATCAAAGTGGTTAGCCTGACAAGATGGGAATAAAAAAAAGTTACTCCTTCAGTAACAGTATTCGCTCCTCCAACTGGAGTGAGAGACAGCACATTTTCTAAGCTGGTAGCACAGAGGGCAGGAAAAAACAAAGCAATCACTGCAGTTACTGGAGATGCAGATAACTAGAGTACTCCAGTTCCAGAAAGGTTATAAGGGATCAATACCGAATACTGTAGTCTGTACCTCATATATCAAGTGCCATTTATAAATCCTCAATATTCAAGGTACAAAATGCTCCATCTTGCCTTAGTCATCAATATCCCCTTAAGGAGAGGCTGACATCAATGATAAACTCTACTGAATTCTGTGCAATATACATTATTATCCCACAAGGAACTAAAAATGAACTAGCACACTAATCTCACTTGCAACAGAATAGACTAGTGCTGCTGCCAGCCTCCCTGGACAGATTTAATTTGCACATATGTTCTCCACACCCGTACACTACGGTGCTGAACTTGTCAGGAATCTGCAGGATACGGCATAGTTTATGTGCCTATAAAACAGTATGTAGCACACTCACCTCACCCTTAAAAAATAAAAATAACTGCATTAAAACTGATCCTTGTTTTGTGCAATGTTTCTCCATGGATATAATGGTGAAACTTAAAGTAGAAGTCACTCCAACATGTGCATGCACCCCAAGAAAGTTACCATTTACTGTGACAGCTTTAATAGACTCTTATTGCGTCCCCTGCAGTAAAAAAAGACTCTCTCTCACACACACACACACACACACACACACTCACTCACTCCACAGCTGTCTGGTCAAGAACCATGAGAAACATCAGAATGATAAACAGATTCCTCTTGGCTAGCCCTCTGCACAGATACTTGTTTATAAAGAGACACCATCAGAGTTAGGTCCTTAAATTTAGAGGGCAAGACTCAGATGCAAAAGTCTTCCAGATTCCCTCAATTTAATTTCTTTATTTTTATTTTGAATAAATTCGCACACTGTTTGGCAACTCAAACTTTCTAAACTTTAGATGAAAACAAACATCCATCCATATTTCAGGGCCCGTCCCTGATCTAAAAAAGAACAAAAAACAAAAACCAGCATGTCCCAAGCTGGTGGATTGTCAAGGTGAGCCTCTTGTTTAAGCTACACACTTAGATGTTGCTGGTAAGAGTTTTAAACCAGTGAAGTCACATAGCAGTTCTACAGCAACAGATGGACATCATAAATAAAAATTTATAATTTCATTGCAGACAGGGTAAAAAAACACTGTGGTTTGTTAAAGACATCTTCATTAGTAACAACGGAAACAGAAAAGCACTTGCTATTTAAATTCCTTTATGTATGAATATTCTCTGTCTCCCAGGTAGTTCCAGCATAAACGTTTACCTTTACTGGGTGTGACAGGAATTTTAAATTTATGAAGCCTTTAATAATGGTGCAGACACTTTTTTATAAAGAGACACCATCAGAGTTAGGCTCTTAAATTTAGAGGGCAAGACCCGCATGCAAAAGTCTTCCAAATTCCCTCAATTTTTAATTTTTATTTTGAATAATTTATTTTTAATAATGGTACAAGGGAGCAAATACACCAATGCAGTCCTGTAAACAATGCTACTACCTGAACACCAAGGGCGATGAGCTTGATCAATGTAAGGATACCAGGTCCATCCTAGTCATTCCTGGGACAAACACAACAAATATGACTGTACTAAAACTTAGCATTATGTAGTTGCTCGTTGAAAAAGTAGTTTCTTCACATTTTCAGTATGCTAGTTGTTCCTAGGTTCTCACAATAAAATGCATAATAAAAGCTACTAAAAAACTTCTTTCATTCTAACAGAGCTTGAAAATGTTTATATTGTCATTAGAAAAGGGGTCTTTGGATGACCAGTGATTTGTCAAGCAAAACATTGAGAACAAAGTAGCAGGTAGAAGATTTCACAGGCAGGTAGAAGATTTCACAGTCTGGTAGGGATATGGTGTGCAAGGCAATCTATCTTACAAAGAGGACAAATACACCATGTACCTGAGCTACATAGATATTTTCATCCTCTGGACTGATGACAAACTCCTTCATCGATTTTCACCACAACTTCAACCACCACCACGCATCCATTAAACTCTCTCTGGAACACTCTCATACCAGCATCAACTTCCTGGACACCATGATCTGCTTTAGCAATGAACAACTACCCAAGAAATCTATTATCTTCAGCCAGGCACTTGGATACCACAGAATATGCTCCGAGGAGAAAGTCCAGGATGTACACTGTAACACATTCAAAACCACCTTTACCAAACAAGGACGATCCACAGAGAAGTAGATCGCACCATGGAACAGGCCACCCAAATATCCTGAGAGAACCTGCTTCAATACAAGGAATAAACACCCCCCTTCACCCGCCTACCCCTAGTTGTCACCTACTGCCCCACACTGGAACCCATACAGGGCATCATCAAACAATGACAACCTATACTCGATGGAGACCCCACCCTGAAAGAAAGCTTTCCTGAACTCCCTCTTCTGGCCTTCAAACAACCCCCAACCTCTTCAAGCTCATCATCAGAAACAAGCTCCCCATAGCCCAGGACACACCAACTCAAAGCAGCACCAGACCCTGCCAGAACAACAGATGCAAAACCTACAGCCATATCTCCACAGCTACAATTATTGACACCCCACACAACACACCTTTCAAGATCAATGGCTCCAACCCATGCCTATAAAAACATGTGGTTTACCTCAAACTGTGCACTAAATACCCCAACAGCAACTACATGGGTGAAACCTGACAATCACTACGCTCTCAAATGAAATCACACAGGAAAATGATAAAAGACAAAAACACCATATTACCTGTGCATGAACACTTTTCACAAAGTGCTCTCTCTATATCCAATCTATCAGTCCTCATCCTCAAAGGAAACCTGCACAACACTTTTAAAAGATGAGCCTGGGAGCTTAAATTCATAACTTTGCTAGACACTAAAAATCATGGACTGAATAGACACTGGATTTATGGCTTATTACAACAATGTATATAAACCCACTAACAGAACCCCCGTCCCCTCCACCAGCAGCTCCCCATTTCTTCCTTTCCTTCCTCCAACTGGGGGGTGTTAACTAACCACTTTACCTTGAATGATCCCTTGAAAAATGTATTAACTATGTATGCTAAACAATCTGTTCCATCTTGTATTTAGCTGTGCCATTCAGAATAAGTCACCCAGATGTCAAGAAGAACTCAAAAGCTTGTCTCTCTCACGAACAGAAGTTGGTTCCAATAAAAAAATATTACCTCACCTGCCTTGTCTCTCTTAACAGGTCATCAGACACACTGTAGGACAAAGTGGTCCTCTGAACGGAAGGGCCTTAGAATTACTGTATTTGCAATAAATGTCTTAAATGGATATCTGCCTGAGTAAAGCAATGCTCAATTGTTACACTAGAGGGCCTCAGCTGCACACCTATCATTCTTGAGTGACCACACAGAATGGGTAAAAACGTGGCCACAAAACTACTCCAACAATGCCTGAAAATATCTTTAGATTTTTCTGTCATTAAATACCAGTTCCAGAATGATTAAACATAAAAGTATCAGAGGGGTAGCCGTGTTAGTCTGTAGCCACAAAAATAACGAGGAGTCCCGGTGGCACCTTAAAGACTAACAGATTTATTTGGGCATAAGGTTTCGTGGGTAAAAAACCCACTTCTTCTGGTGCATGGATAAACATCCATAAACTCCATGCATCTGAAGAAGTGGGGTTTTTACCCACAAAAATTTATGCCCAAATAAATCTGTTAGTCTTTAAGGTGCCACCGGACTCCTTGTTGTTTTTAAACATAAAAGAGAAGGTTTGTCATCCTGATGTCGGCAGTTTCATTGACTGACAAAATGGATTAAAAATGTATGTGTAAAAATACGAGCATATTTGCTTTTCATATTGATCAACCTTTAAATGGTGGGAAAAAAATCAATTCAAATTCCACTGGTTCCCAGT